ATCCGGGATTTATGTTAAAAGTTATAAAGTATTAAAGTCATGTAAAAATTCGGTAAATCGGATTGAATAGGAATTTTGAGAAAATTTGAAGGGTATTAAATTAAGCTTAGAAATATTATTTCCACATTTTTAAATGATGAAAAATAATATGGACCATTGGATTTGAGATTTTATTTCCATGTTCAATTTGGACCGTTGGATGAAAACAACAATATTGAAATTCTAGGAAAGTTGCATGGATAAAGTTGTCAAGGGCATAATATTTTGTTCATCTTTGATTTTGGAAGATGATAACCAACATGTGACTTGGTATGGATGTCATCATCAAGTTTCATTAATGGTAAAATTGTCATTTCCTAATTAAATGAATTTTAAATTCATTTAAGCTTAATAAATGACAAATTAACTATAAATTTCATGAAAATAAGTTTTTCTTCAACCTCCATTTTGTGCTCCTCATAACCTAGGTAGAGAAAATTATTTTTTATTTTTTAGCAATTTCCTTTGGATTTTGGATCAAATCGTGAAATAGAAAATTGTTCTATTCAAAGAGCTCTATCATTTGATACCATTATTGCATGCTAATATTGCTTGAATGTTAAGTTCATAAATTTTAGGGTTTATGTTCATGTTAGGATTTTATGAATTGATGATGGATTTTGAGGTTGTTGAAGTTGTAGAATCACTTCCAATTTAGTTTGATGATTAAAATGACCTAGAAATGATATTTTGATTTTTGGCCTAAACCATAAATTAGGGGAAGTTTGTGATTTGATGAAATTAAGTTAGGGGTTTGATTGTAGAGGTTTTAAAATGTTGAATAGAGGTTGATTTCATGCTTGAATCAATTGAAATCAAGTGAAAATCATGGAAATCGACCCCCTTAATATTCAGCCTAAGAATTTGTTAGTGAGAAAAATTATTGAAAAATTATGTATGGGTTGGAAATGATGTAGGAAGGATTCTACAAGCCTTATAAAAAATTTAGGACCTTTTTGTAATTTTGTGAAAGTTAGGGGACCTATTTGATAATTTTTAAAAGTTATGAGGTTGATGTGTAATTATTCAATAAATGAAGTACTATGATTGAAATTAATTTTAGAGTGATGAATTTGGTTTTAGAATGCAAAATTTGACTATTTTGGGAAGTTGTCAAAGTTTGAGTAATAAATGGCAAATATTGAGAAAATTAGTGACCTAAGTGGTAATAATGGAATTTTTGAGATATTAGGATGGAAATTAGATTATGGAAATTTAATTAAGTTGTTTGAGACTTGAATTGAAGTAAAAGGGCAAAGACTATTTAGAATAAAATGAAAAAGCTGAGATGAATTCTAAAAGAATTCATAATTAGTAGTTAAAATAGAAAGTTGAAAAATGTTATGTGAAGTTTTGGTGAATTTGGATAAAAAAAGAGACTTGAATGGTCAACTTGAAAGTGTTAAAGTCATCATTTATGTTGTGACATAGAATTAATAACGAATAAGCATCGAAAGACCTTTAGTAATTTATTTTGTGTGTCTATGTTAGTGAAATTCTAACATGTGGTTTGAAATTTACATATTTTGTAAATGATGTTCATTTAGATTGTGTGCTTGAAATCAAGATTAAGCAATTAAAGGTAAGGAGAACTTAAGCATGAAATGTGAATTTCTAAGGAAAGTTGCAAGCTAAAGACTCCAAGTGAGTGCATATTTAATTTGTATTTATGATATCGTTCAAACATTGGCTTGCGATGAGCCAGTGACGAAGTGACTATGATAAGAAGTGACTCCTAAATGTTATAAAATTTTGTGATTCATGCATATATGTTCATTTGATATGCTAATAGAATTAATGAATAAGTTGGTGAAATCAACCCATATTTGTGTTCTAAACAGTAAGTTTAGAAAATCATCATAAATTCTATAGAAATGATTAGGGGATAATTTTTATGTTTTTGGATTTATATATCAGTCTAGTTTTGTTGAGAACAAACGACTACTTATTTCAAGAAGTATACAAAAAGATATGAATTCTTAATCGATGACAGGTCAGAAAATAGGGCAGCAAATTTTGCTTAAAACAACTTCTCTAAATCAACTTTAAAAATTCACTATAAATTGTACAAGATGAATTAGAAGGAGTGTCTTGTATGGTTAGATTCATATTCGAGTATATTTTCTATTGGTATAAACGGAATAATTTTTAAGTATGTAGATTAATACAGAATAATATTTCTTTGAATGCATGCAAACTGCCAGAATATGAAATAAAATTTAGAATGTGGTAAACTATGTATGTTATGATACTCTTATGATATACATTATCTTAGAATGTTTGAAATGATTCAATGTTATTACATTGGCATGATAAATTATGATATTTATTATACAAGGAAATACGATATTTATATGTTTAAAAGAGAAAGTGATAATAAGTAAGTGTAGTTATTTATTTAATTATTCTGATCACAGACGACTTGTGATAAGTCAACCTCATATTATTTTAAAGTATGTTTTTATTTTCATTACATATTATTTCCATGATATTTCTATAAAGTTTTATGAATGATTTAGGGTATGAATTGTCAATCATGTTATGATCTGAAAGGTTTGATATGTTGAGATATTGATATCTTTGATAATTTTATAACATATAATAATTAATGGAAAAGCCTATTGTATATTGCATTGAGTGTCGTAAGTACAAGTGACATGCCATGAAGTGGAGTGATTATGATTATGATCTGGTACATTTGTGTACATTATGTATAGCACCGTTGATGCAAGTGATATGATTGCACTTGGTGTGCATAGTCTGATTTTGAAGATAGCACTGAAGTGCTTATTGCGCACACTCGTATGACTCACGTACCTTACAATCTCATAAATACGCATTGGACTATGAACTTAAAAATAAGCTATGCATATGAAATTAAGTTATAAATCTGAAATAAGTTATAAGACTGAAAACAAGTTCTGAATATGAGAATGAATTTTAAAATGTGAAAGTACTGATTATGAAAATGAAATGTGAAAGTGGATATGAAAGTGAATTATGAAAATAAGAAATGAAAATTTTGTATTGTATATGAATGAAAAAGAATATGATATGACTGTTATGTATGATATTGTTTATCATGGCTTTGATATGTTTATCATGGTTTTGATAAAATCATAAGATAATGATTTTCAGGTCCTTGAAGAAAAAATTGCTTGAATAAATCAGTTTAAATATTTAGTGATTTTATTGGAATTTAAGTTAATGATTTTAAATTGTTTAGATATTGTTAAGTTGTTTGATATTTATATCACTTTAGTTTGTTTATAATGTCTCACTAAGTTTATACTTAGCATGTGATGATTTTTACACGTAGGTAAAAAAGAGCAAGTGAAGTAAGGAGCTGAGTGGGCATCAATTAATAAAGAAAAGTTACAGGTATAAGTAATAACATCCTACTATTTTAAAATTTACTAGATGACATGTATACGATTAAGAAATATCTAAGATATGTCATTATAGATATAATTATGAATTAAGTTGTGTTTTAGATAAAATTTATATTTTATTAGAGTATATAAATATTTTAAATTAAATAGTCTAATTTATGATATGAAAAAGTATAGAACAGTCTAGTTGTTGCCTGAAATTAATATTGATTTGGAGGCTTAAACACTATAATATGATTTTACGTGATTACATTATTTATTGAAAAGATTAAATTGAATAAATTTCAAAAATTCAAAATTTTGCTGGATTTTCAACCTTAGAATGTATATAAAACTTTGTAACATCTTTGACTCGCATTCGGGTACGCATATAGGTTAAGGGTGTTACAATAACCGTTTGAGAAGTGTAATAACCATTTTGTGACATTTGAAAGATCACTGACAAAAAAATTATTTTTACATAATTCAGCACCTCTGGTGTACTTTGTCCTAAATGTTATATGATCACTGAACTTTCAAAAGTTACAAAATAGTCATTAAATTTATTGAGCTGCTATAAAATAGTCATGCAATGTTATAATAAAGTAAAAGTTCAATAAATTTAATGACCATTTTGCAACAGTTCAATTACTTTAATTACCATTTTGTAAATAAAGTTTAACTATCATATTGTAACAGTTCGATAAATTTAATGACAATTTTAAATTTTTTAAAGTTCAGTGACCAAAATGGTCATTTGAGTGTAGTTTAGTGACCTATAATGTACTTTACCCCAACATCTATATAAATGTATTCCTTTTCATTTGTTAGCTCCAAAGAAATGTAAGTTGTCTTTGAAATCAATGCAATTACCTCTGTAATTTGACAAAAAGAATTGTTGAAAAAAGTTTGCTTTATGTTTCTATATGAACAAAGTAAAAAGTTAACAAAGATGATAATGGTGTAGGGATATTCATTCAAGAACTATAATTCTTCTGGTACTCAATTGTAAAAGCTAGAAGATGGCATCACTGATTTCTGGTTCTTCTTTACGTGCTGCTGTCCGATGGAGACGATTGCATGTTACAAAAATGCTCTCCCTTAAGAAGGCTGATTACCTGTTAAATTTGGTGTTTAAACAAAGCAAAAATGGTGATTTGTAAGCCATGGCTGTAATTCAAGGAAGGGTTCTGATTACTTGAGTCATATAGGGTCTAGAAATTGGCTTGGTCCTTGTACAAGCAGTTGCAGCAGCCATGACTCTGTAAATTCCATGCATGTCCCAGCACTCTGAGTCTTCGTCCAATAGCTCATAGAATTTTCTTTTCAGCATCAAAGGCCGGGCCTGCCATTTCCGTATAGAATTGAATGTTACGGTCTCGATGAGGCTGAAACAAAGCTAGGGATCGAACGAGAAACGGAGAACAGACTACTAACCCGCTCGATTAAGCTTTTGTCGTCCTCGGGTGCCGATGTTCGGCAAAACAGTCTCAATAGCAGAACTCCAAACGAAAGGACATCGCTTTTCACCAGTTCCATTGTTTCATGGTCTAGAGGATCCATTAGGCATCTTCATCAACAAAAGTTGCTTTAAGCTGATTGCTCAAGAAAAAACACATAAAGCAAGAAGCTTCTGATGAGAGTGGATGTATACCTATTCTTGGAGTTGAATGATAGTTGTTCATTATGAAGCCATGCAGCCTTTCCAAAGCCAGAAATCTGATAGGAAAATGAACGGCACGATTAGAGAATTCGAAGATGATATACGCCTCGTAACAAATTTCGATTTAAGATGCTTTACCATAGGCTGCAAATCACGCCTTATGAAAATGCTGCGGGGCTGCAATTCGCCATGGACAACGGGCCATTGCGGACATTCTTCGTGCATGTATCGGACACCTTGTGCTATAGTTATGGCAATCTTAAGTCTAGCTTCGAATTTCAGCTCCCTTCTTTCCGAGCCTGCAAGACGAATGAAGCCTTCAGCAAATTGAATATGAAAATTCAAAAGGAAGTATTGTATTTACAGTACTCACTACTCACCCCAAATGTATCTGTCTAATGTCATTCCTTGTAGCAGGGGAAAGATTAAAATCGTTCCGTTTTCGCTCTGATGGTAACCCGTGATAACCGATATGTTCTTGTGGTTCATACACGAGGCCGCTCTCATTTCTGCCTCAAGAATGGTTGTAGAGTGTGGCCCAAGCCTCTTTACTAATACAGATCGTTGGTCAAGACATCCCATATATGTGCTGTAGTTCTTGTCACGGTCATTGCTAGCCCTTGTCGAAAATCTCTTTGTTATTTCCGAAATCACTTCCCAGCTTAGCTGTTGTGGGCTGATGTTGCTACATGGAAGGTTATGACCTGTTTTGGTGCGCTCGACTTGTTTCGGAGTTTCGTTTTCCTTAAGTGGCTCCGACTCTGTTTCGTTTTCGACCGGCTTCACTTGCGATGTCGATGACGATCCCTTCATCATCTTTGGGGACTTGGGATTATGGATTACTTCTTCCATGAGCATTAAGCTGTGTGACGACTCATCCTCTGTTGTCCAATGATCATCGACAACGGCGCCTTCTCCATCGGTCACCAATGATACATTACATTCGACTCCTATCAGCCGGAAAGTCAAGTGCTTTGCAAAGGAACTGCAAGAGCAAATTTGAAGCTCTTCAAGCTAGCTAAAATACATAGTGTACCAGAACAGAGGAATAAGGAATTAAACCTATCAAGAATAATCCAAGTGGCCCCAACATTGTTGGCCTCTTCAATTATGATATCCTTTGGCTGGTAGCCTGCAGCAACCTTAACCGGAAACTTCACCTGCAATACAAGATTAAGTTGGTTTATACAATCAAAATCAACGTATTCCGAGTCGCTTTTATCCGTATTCTACTCTCACACACGAGTCCGAGTAACATAGCAACAAAGGAATAGCTAAAAGACTCACTCCATTGCTTTTGAATCTTTCATAAAAGGGTCTGAAAATTCGCATGTAATCCTCCTTCTTTTGGCTTACTTGATGACGAAGGAACCTGATGTACGGATCATCTCCACATGCATAATTGCACCTATGATCTCCATGGTAACGTTTGCTCGAAGACGGTCCGGACCCTTCAACGGGGAGAAGGGTTAGAGCTAAAATCTCATCCACCTTGTTATTACTAGCATATTTCGAGGCCCTCAGCAGCGGCACAAGGCCTTGCTTGTCAGCGGCGGCGACTTTTTCTCCGTTTAAAACGACAATCACTCTATGTAAACTCTCCCCCCTTTTCCTAGTCGTCATCGTAGATCGATATCCCCCTTGTTCCGCTAAGCTGTTTCGAGGCTATTCCCTGTTGCTTCGCATTTATTTCGAACTACGATGGCGGCTTTCTACCATGTGATCGACATAGTTCTTGTTCCTTGTTACTAACAAGATATTCACTCTGGGAATGTCCGGAAACATTGTCTTTCATTTGGCCTTTACTTACCATTCGCCTCGTTACATTTTGTCCGAATCGCCAACCAGACACTGAATAGTTTACAAATATGGCTCTTGAGATTTGGCCTTTTCGGAAACGTTAATGATTTCCATGAGAGAGTTGAGTTGCCTGGAAATGGTGCTGGTGCGGGATTTGTAATACGGACAGATCGGGGAAATGAATAGAGCATTGAAAAGTGAGGAGGAGGATGAAAACTAGGAAAAAATTTAGATAGTCCGACTCATCACGTCTTCTGTAGTCTCACTAAAAAAAATTTATTAAATGATCCCGACTCATCGAGTTATACATGGTCCAATAAAAAAACCACAAATTATTTTAAAAAAATGATATGAATAAATAATATTAGTTAGAACTACATATTACGAGATCAACCAGATCCTTCAAATAATTTCTCGGAAACTAGGGTTGAGCTTGGATGACTCAGAAATGCCATTATCACTGCTTTCGGGGGAAGAATGGTGCATGAGTCCAAACAGTCTATTCTTTTAACGTTTTGTTTAGAATTTAGTGTAGCAACATTGTTTTTTGTCAGCTGCACGTGTGGAATGCATTAGTAGGCAATTTTTTTTATATATATTTTTAGTTAATTGCATAACATGTCCTTAAAGTAGGACCCTTATTTTAAATTGGTCCCTAAACTTTTAAATGTTCTAATTTTATCACTAAAATTATCATTCTAAATTAGTACTCAAACTTTTGAATATTTCAATTTTATCCCCATACTATGACTTTCATTCTAAATTGGTCTACAAACTTTTGAATATTCCAATTTCATCCCAAGCTACATGTATATACTAATCACGTCCCTCGTTAATAAAATCGTTAGGCCAAGTTATATTATTATACGTTTGAAAAAAACAAAAGTTAGGTTAAATTATGGTTGAAACTAATTAAATATTTGGATAAATTTGAGGATAAATTTGGAATATTCAAAAGTTTGTGGACTAATTTAGGAAATGGGTCATGGTTTAGGGATGGAATTAGAATGTTTAAAAGTTTAAGAACTATTTTAGAATGAGAGTCATAGTTTGGGGATGAAATTAAAATATTTAAAAGTTTAAGGAATAATTTAAAATGAAAGTTATAGTTTAGGGACATATGATATACTTAAGTCATATTTTTATTTTAACTCAAATATCTTATTTTCATTGTAACACCCATAGCTCGTATGTGTCTCGTAATACGAGTTAAAAATGTTACATCAATTCAACAAAAATTTGATGAGTCTAAATGCTTAAATTTTTTTTGTTTCGGTTTAAAATATTATTTTTATCATTTAAAAAAGTTTTCCATTAGTATGCATAGTCATAACATAATAATTTATCGTTCTAAACAAAGTTGATTTTATACAGCAATTAGGTAGTTTCATATTGGTTCATATCTATATACAACTGCCTAATGTTGTTTGGTTTAAACCCATTTAAAACCATTCATAATATTCATTCATAAATACGATCATAACTGAAATTAACCAAACATTAAAACGATTCTAAATTATTATTTCATACCCCTTTTTAATATAAAAATAATAAAGTAACCCAACATATATAATGTATATACCACTAATAAATCAAAATTAGGATGTCTTACTGATATTGTCGGTAGGTTTGATTTCCACAAGATGTTGGTATGCTCCTCACTTCACGTTTTTTTCTTTACTCAAACTTACACATGAAAATTATCACGCGCTAAGTAAAACTTAGTGAGGTAATAATATAGCTAAAATGAGATAAAACATAAGATTTCATAAAACATTATAAACATAAAATTAAAATTAAAATAAAAGTATTAAAACTTTCAAACCAGGTTATTCATGTTGTTTTCCTCTTGAAAACCTAAAAATCATCATCTCATAATTTTATAAAAAAATAACGTAAATCATCATTAAATATAAAAAACATCATATTCCTTTCATTCTGACATATTTTTCATTCGAACATATTTCATAACTTTCACTTCAGTTCTATATTCCATTATTTCATATTCCTGTCATAACTTTCACATTTACTGTTATAACCCAATGTATATGTAAGAGAATACAAGGTACGTGAGTCAGACGAGTGTTATCACATCAGAATCATAATATGCACACAAAGGGTAATCACATCCAAATATATATTAGTGTACCCACCGGTAACATCACAATATATCACATCAGAAATGAGCACACATAGTGTTATCGCATCAGAAAATATATATATATATATATATATACTAGTGCACCCACCAGTACACCACAGTATATCAAAATCATAACATATAAGCACACGTATTGCTATCATATCAAAATCGTAATGTGCACACAAAGGGCAATCACATTAGAATATATACTAGTGCACCTTCAGGCAACACCCCAGTATATTAGAATCACTCCACCTCATGTACCCACAACTCTCAATGCAACATACAATGGGTTTTCATATCATATTTCATTCATTTATAATTCAACATTTTCAATCGGTGACATTTTCTAATATCATTCTCATAAAAATAATAATACATTTAGGACAGTTCATACCCTAATCATTCATAAAATTTTCGTGCGAACATTATATAAATAACTAGTATTTAAAACAGAAAGCGTACTTTAAAATAATATGAGGTTGACTTATCACAAGTCGTCATCAATCAATTTAATCGAATAAATTAATGTACTCATTTTAACACTTTACTTATAAATCAAAATATAATCATTACTAAGCTTTAGGTTTAATCATTGTTTCAACTACACTATTTATCAAAATTTCATATTATGATAGTTTGCACTACCTTTAAATAAATATTATTATGTATTAATATATAGACTGAAAAATTATTCCGTTTGAACTAATAAAAACTAGACTCGAATAGGATTTAACCATATAAGGCACTATGTCTGTTTTCGCTTGTACATTTTATAGCAAATTTTCAAAGTTGACTGACAAAAGTTGTTTTGGGCAAAATCTGTTACCCTGTTTTCTGACATATCACCGATTAAAAATTCATATCTTTTTGTATACTCCTCGAAATTAGTTTTCGTTTGTTTTAAACGAAACTATACTGATATACGAAATCCAATGGTATAAGATTCATCCTTCAATTATTTTTTAGAATTTCTGGTAATTTTCTAAACTTACTGTATATAACATAATTTATGGGCAAATTTCATCAACTTGTATCCTTAATTTATTCATTAATTCTATTAGCTTACCGATTGAACATATAGGCTTGAATCATACTTCACACACGCACTATGAGTCACTTTTTAACGTAACTCCGACACTGACTCATCGCAAGTCAATGTTTGTTCAATAACATAAATACAAATTAAATGCACTCACATTTGCCTCACCACCGAACCTTCTCCATAATATTCTTCTCGATCTCACACTTTTCCTTCCATTTCAAACTACTTGGATCACTAAATTTATTGTGGTCTGACGATATTATATAATAATATAAAATATTCAAACTATATGTTAGAATCAAACTAACATAATCTAAACAAAATTATAAAATTCGATAGAAATAAAATCAATACGTGAATCGATATAAAACTGAATCATACCTCCTTCATAATTTCAAACTTCTCAAAATGTTTATTCAATCCCATGAATATTTATTTCCACTATAAACCCTTCAATTTTTGTCAATTATACCATAAAGCCATAAATTATGAATTCTTTTTAGAATTCATATTAACTTTCTCATTTAATTCATAATGACCCTTTACCATGATAATCGTTTTACATTAATCACATAAAATTTCCAGTACCTTACTAAAATATTCAAATCAACACTTAAACATTCAAAATCTTATAATTTCATCCTAAAATTTCTTAGATTTTTCAATTTCAACCACACAACTTGATAAACTTGCAATTAATTCTCAACTTAATAATTAAACTCAAAAATCATCATACTAAATATAATTTCCAGCATTGCAATAATTACCTAAATGATACTTCCACATTTAATAAACTTGAAATCAAGTACCTATAATATTGAGACTTTTTTAATTTCACCCTCAAGCTTTAGCAAACTTGAAATTTAGATCCAATCAACTTTCTAACTTAAAATTCTAGCATTTCTAATATTAAAATTCAGCATTAACACACCATCTATCACATTTATGCAATAATGTCCCACAATTATTAAAACTTGTATATTAGCTCTTTTACTAACTCAAACTTCTAAATGGATCCAAACTGATTTCCAAAATACATAGAACACTTATAATATAATTTCTAGACCTAGGAAATTTTTCAATATTTCCCCCCTAATTTCCCCTTATGGCAGAATATAACAAGTCTTTTATGACTTGATTTTCATTTCATTTCAAGCATGAATTCAACATCCTTAGATTAAATTCATGTTATTCTAATCATAACAACATCAAATGACATCAAAATCCCAACATTTCCAAAAACCCTAACTAGGCCAAATAGTATACAAACATGTACACATCAAATTAATCATCATACATGTCTTAGAATTAATCTCCAACCTTAAAAACATCAAAATTCTTCTTCAATTCTTCAAAATCCAAAAATCCTACATAAACCCTAATTTTCAATCTCAACACACAAACGTCTTCACCATGAAATATTGGTACCAAATGATAGAGAATTTCATGTAGATTAATACTATATCCAATTGCTTAATCTAAAAATCAAGTGTATAACTTCAAATATCAAAACAAAAATTTTCTTACCTTCAGCAAGGTGGTTTGGCCAAGAGAAGAACAACAAGCTGAAAATGGTTAATTTCTTGATTATTCTAACATTAAATTAGCCTATACACTTGTCTTTAAATTATTATA